GTTTTCCGATTTTTGGTTTTTACAGTTCCGCACGCGCTATTTAGCCTAGCTGGAGGCGCAGACTACTCCAAAGATTTGATATTTGGTCGGAGTGGTGTCCATCCGCACCCTCGTCTGATTTTGCTGATTCAAATTCAAGCCAGAGATACTGTATCAAGATGTTGCAGAAAAATTCCGCACGCGCTCTGACGGTGACTGCTCATAAAAGTATGCATTTTACGTGGAACAAAGAGCCGCTTATGGTTTATTCAGTATAATATATTCATTCAAACTACGAGATCAGCAGAACATCGTCGATCCGTACAAAAGCCCAAGTTTCACGGGGCCATCCATTTGTTGTCCGTTTTCCAGCTATTCTTCATTCTAAGCAATGTTCGTTTGACTTAAAGACACATGGTATGCTCAAACACTTGAGAAGGACTATTCAGCTCCCCAGCTTGTCATGTGTCGTGATCCCCGCCCAAAACGGAGTGTTAGAAGCAGGACGCCATCGTTGTGATCATACAAGAGGGGGGGGGCGTATTAGCCGCAGATGGAGGGGGTCGTAAAGCGGGGACCTTTTTGACGTGAGGGTGCAGCGACACCCAGATGTCGTTCAGATTCAATGATGAATGACTTATCCATGTGATGAGCCCTTGAAGAGAGCCACACAAGACAGAAGCAACATACCAGTGCAGTACTGGGAATGGGCGATGACAGAAACTACTATTGTCGCCTACAACGACGTCGATTGGTAAATAAAACCAAAAGAAGCATGAGCCTCCCCGTCTTGTCAACCTCTTCAGTGTCACGTACTCTGCTTCTATTGGGTTGTTCGAAAAGTCCTGCGACACTTTGACCAATTTTTCGGACTAAATTTAATTAATTTATTTTAAATTTTCGGTCACTAAAAAGACATCTCCAATCTACAAGGTAATCACACTAAGGACTAGAACTAGTGCCCTTCTTTTGCACAGCTTCTCATTTCCATTCTTATAGAACTACGGCAACTATGATAAGAAGAAGAGGTGGACCTCATTTTTGAGTAGACGTCGATTTTCGGAATTTTTGCCTCCTTTTAAAGATGCGGTAGGGATCAAAAAAGATAGTATTTAGAAACTGCTGACTTTGATGAATAATCTGGGTATGGTCGCATTCTCAGGTTAAGATCCACGATCTTTTGACGATGCGCGCTCTGATCCAGCATGCGGTCTTCGCACATTGCCGACGCGTAGCGAGAAAAATTGAGTATTTTTGAAGAATTTAAGCGTGACGTCATCCATGTTGTGAGGTTGGTTAGAGTGGACTGTAGTCCTTACCGTTATGCTAGTATCCAGAGATACCGCTTTGAAGTCCCACCAATAACCTACTGAAATCTTTATCCCATGCACATCTGCTTTTGGCTGTGCAATCTACTTTTCTGTTTGAGAGATCCTGCGAGGAACATGTGCAAGATGTACGCAAGGACCCCACCACTCTCTACCAACCACAGGATCTCACAAATGTTCCTCCAGTGTTTTTATTTCACAAGGAAAAAAAAACTCAGTCACGGTCATTCGGTATGACTTGTCAGAGGGGTTCAACTCATGAGGCATCCTTCATAAAAATTTTTTCCGATAACCGAGACTGCGGAGAAGCATGGCAGTTGTCGTTAGGTGAGCCTAGAGAAGTTGCCAACTTACTGATGGTTACGTTCGGCTGCGCCTCAAGAAGCTTGAGTAAAGGGCCGTCATTCTGTGCTGGTGGCCGACCTATACATTGCCTACTTCCGAGTTGAATAAGTCCAGCCTGGAAAGACGCTGATCGCAAGAATGAACTCTCTTGTTATGGCAAGCGATATCTTTTTCAAACATAAGTGTTAGCTTCCTCGACTATGGCGGAGTTGCCCTACAGGAACTCATAATATGGGATAGGTCGAGAAGTACCTCGATCTCTGAGGTATTTTTAAGCTTGAGAAACTTCCACGGAGCCATGATATACCCATTTTCAGAAACCCCAGGAGACAATCTCCACTAATCAGAGATAAAAACATTCAAAATGATTTTTGGTCTTTTTCTAGAATAGTTCAAACAAAGTGTCGCAGGACTTTTCGAACAAACCTAATATTTAAGATGCGCTAGCGGCGGATTGAATGCGATGTGGTCTATACGATGACTTGCGGTTGAGGTCCCTGTAAGGGTCAGTATTTCATCATCTCAGACGAATCTGGTACCATTTCACTGTCCACGGAGAATAGTAGGGGTTAGTTGGCGTGGGCGAGAGTCGAGCCAGTATTTGAACCCGGCATCGCGCGAGTGGTAAGCGCGCCACTTGTCACCTCCGCGCCAATGAGTATCCGCCATGAATAAATGAACTGATGAAAGTCACCCCGGGACCTTCCTGGCTCGGGAGCACATCTACTTGCACCTAGGAAGCCCTTTGTAGAAGTTGCACCTTCCCAATAGCTATGCGTGAAAGCGTTGTGCATGGCGCATCGCAGAGGTGATGCCAATTGGCGCTAATGAACTGTTTCTTGATATCCTTGGCAAAACATGCTCATCAGAAGCATACCAAAGTTGTTTAAACCAACGGAGATATGGTGCTGCATCATTGCAGACCGGTGGGGCGGCGCGTGTGACTCGGCTGTGACGCGACTGTCATCACAGCCGAGTCACACGCGGCGCGGCTCACCCGCCCCACCGGTCTGCAATGATGAGGACTGTATTAGGAGGTCAGGTCGTTAGATTTTTAGTGTCGTGGGGCAGTGGTCATGAGATGATCACAAGAGGAGATTTTTTCGAATAGCAGAAAATGAAAGTTGTGCTGGAAAGTGGAAGGCTCAGGCGCTCCGGCCAGTTCTTTTTGTCGAACAGGCCCTCTATGAGTTGCCATGGATGTCCAAAGCGTGGCGACTCGGGGTCGGGCCCCCATGATCACAAGAGGATCACAAGGGTGAAACTTTCTAGAAAGGGAATGTTTCAGAAATCGTTAAATCCAGGTAACAAGAGCCAACCTAGTTTTACTCATTCCCACTTCCCCCAGAGTTTTACTTTCAACGAAGTAAGTGCTGTGTTCAACAAAGGTGTATTTGTTGAGTGTTTGGCTTGAATTGTGAGGCGAAAAAAACGCAAGCTTGTAATTAAGCGCGCGCTTTGATGGGTGGGTGTAATGCAAGGAGACGCATTGCATTGGCAGGCGATTGAGATGCAATTACACTCCTAGCGCAGCTTTTGGCCACCGCTATCCCTCACGCTATTTTGATGTTTGCGAGGTTTTGTTGCTGACAGCGCGGGCGCAAGAAGCAAAGGAAACGATGCAAACAGAAGTTTGCAATGTACCAACGGGGCGTCGTATCAAGACTTATCTGGGGGGGGGTCGTATTTTTCAGGAAATGATCACAACGCAATGGCGTGCCCTGGGTCAGAGTACGGGACCATGGGAAAGTCGTAGTTCCTTGCTGCGCCGCCCGTTTTTGCTAACTCACTTTTTTATTGCGTAACACCAGTCCAGCGCGGCGCGGTCGCGTGCAGCTCTCTTGGCTTTTTGCCAAGTCCTGTAATTGCGTTTTGGAATACAAGTACAACGCAATTTCTTTATGCGGATAACACGCTAATAAGGATCGGAGATGATGACGACGAGCTAGAATCCAAGGGACTGTTGCTGGCTTCTGCAACAGCCTCGCAGGCCGCACATTCCCAAAAATAATCAAAATAAAAACGGCAAGCGTCCCACTCGTTAGTTTGAAGTATTTCTATAGCTTTAGAGCCGGATTCGAGCCGGATCGCAGAAATGCACACGCGATTTTAATTTATTGCGTTTCCTTAGTTTTTTCAATTTTGTTTTATTTACATCTACATTCGTTGTTGTTCATTTCTAGCCTTTGTCATCTTCATCACCTTCTATTCGGACTTGAAGCAGTCCGAATAGAACGAATAACATTTGAGCAATACTCAAATGTTAGGAAATTGCGTTTTGCTTGTATTGTCATGTTTTATTGTCATGTGTCAATTTGCTATTTCGTGTTTTGTGGAATGCGCGGCGCTGCGAGGCTGGGTTGCAGAAGCAGCCACAAGTTTGCTCTTGGTTCTGGCCTCGTCATCATCTTCGTACCTTTGCGGACCTAAATGTTATCCGGCATTCAGGAATTGGTTCCTATTGTTTTGAGAGGCGCATTAAAGGACTTGAGCGAAAAAAGTGCCGGCCGGCCGCGCGATGGTGTTAGCATAAGACGCTGAGTCTCTTGCACCGACTCCCCACGGCCTATACTTTGAACCCCAGTCAGTTTGGCGGGGAGATCACGGACACATAGAGCAGCTGGGGGGGGCATGATAGTTCATACACCCTCAATTGCTGTGGAGGCGTACCATGTGTCTTTAGGATCTGCTCCCTTCACTACGCTTTCTCGAGTTGTTCGGGGCCCATTTACTCTGTAAATGCTCCTCAGAGCAAGGCACTATTTTCGCTAGAATAAGAAAAAAGTCAATTCTTCGACCAAAAACCCAGCTCTTAGGATCGAGGGCGGGAATAACAGTCTTTCCTTCAGTGTTTATCCCTCTACGGGGTATGAAATGATAAAGACATTCTACTCGCAACAATAAATGCCAGTCACAGTCGTATTGTGCGGGCAGGGTCACGTGTCGAGGAATGAGCCCACCCCCCCCCCGTGGTTTCCTTCTGTATGAGATCAAATTGACCGATATTACTGGGAAAGGCAACCGGGGACCTGGTCCTTCCCATCCCTCCTGCCACCACCCCTTCCGATTGCGAAGATATCAGCTGTAGCCTTGTTTGCCATGGGTACTAAAGCGTGGGGAGGGCTTGGGCGCGAGCAACCTGTCTTCTAGCAGTTGATTGTCTCGCTCGCATACTCCAACCATTGATGGAAAGCAAGCTGATGCCACGCCAAATACAACCACCTGCCGATAACTTGAGTCCACGTGGGACAAGTATGTATCTCTCCAAGTCCACACACATCAGCACTGTCTGGAGTATCGCTGGGGAAGTGCACGACCAATCGCCAAACTGCTAGACTCATGAACGCAGCTGAAACGGTCTCTAACAAAAGTATTACTTGTTGGAAATTTTTTAGGGTTTCATTACTGACGTGAAATGCGAGGAGTGATTTGTTTTCTCATCCCTAACCCATCGACCAGGCATCCAGTTTTTTTTTCTGGCCGACCTTTCCATATCGACGGGTACTCACCCGATTCGGCGGCTTTTACTATTACAGAGTTCGCTAACTTATTTCTTCAAAGCTTCGGAAAACACAAAAATGTAGCGGACGATTAAGCAAATCATCGCATTATAGGCAAAAGACCTGGTCTTAAAATTCAAGAGGTGGAGCTTACCTTACCTAACAATGTCCCAGCCATTATTCCACCACGATTCTCTTTGAATCATAAGCCAAAGAGATATTAAAGTTTAAAAGATGGAAGAAAGTCCCGAGCAGGGAATGGTACAAAATTGTAACTGGCTATTGCAAACCAGAATACGGCAAAAATAGTAGTCATGTGCGAAAACGACTGGAAACACGTCAAGCTTTTGGTTCACTGCCCATGTCAGCTAGCCATGGATATTTCTTTGAGAGAACTGTCATATCGTTCTTTGCTAAACAGAGATATAGCCACAACCACACGGGGTCAAAAGGAGAAATATCTCCTTACAAAAGGACAGTCACACAAGTTCGACTGAATACACCAGCCACGCTCAGCACATATGCCAGGAAATCTTGAGTATTACCGTAAGTCACCGAATTCGCTAAAAACTTGCCTGTGCGGGACGTTTGGCATATCGAGCAGAATACCGCATCTGTATGGGGCGTTAAGAATGTTCAGGATGGAGTAGAAGGGGGTACACGTGATAGCGCAACCTGCTTCTGCTCAGTCCGCGTCCATTCCCCAAGACGTATATGTCCTTCCTCTGCAAAGGCTGGAGCTTAAGTGGAAGAGGACCCTAATCGTAAGAAACCAAGGCAGATGGGCTGCATTTTAGGTCACCGATTCGCCTAACTGCACCTAGCACACAGCTACTGCACAAAGGCTGAGTCTGCTGACAACACGTACAGGATTCTGAACGAAGCAATGTGATGACCGCACCTGTACGTATGTGTCAGGCGTTTTCAGACTGAGCATATGTTATATTCGTGTTTAGGAGGTAAAACTAACCCAAATGTTTTGGCGCTGACGTTTGCGGCGAGGGCGGCAGGAGGAGCCACGTCTGTTCACGGAGAAGGAATTCGGTGAAAAACTGGCCACGTATTCCGAGATGACTGGGGCATAGAGGGTAAATAATGCCAGAAGTTCGTCAAATGCACGCTCCACGCTCAAAAAAGGTGACTTGCGCGGCTCAAATACTGATCAAGAAGGTAAATAAGCAAAAAAAGAAGTAAAAAAGCACCATAAATTAGCCTAAATGGACGTACAAGTCGGAACTATTCAGCTTTATATCGCGGGGTCAGCTTTTGAGCACCGTCCAATGAGTGCAATCGCTTCACAATGCAGCAGGCGCGACGCAAAGTTGGACATCATCTCGATTTTGACTTGGGCTCTTGTCGTGAGGCTTTCCTCGTCCATATACACTGCGAAGCATAATCATAGTTCCACCATGAATTTCACAAAATCCTGTCTTACACGACGCTTTCCAGAAATGCCTCGATACAAAAAAATGTTGGTAATTACCGCAATACCAATTTTCGCCAATTTTCAAAAAAGGTCTTTCTGACAACTCAGCAAAATGATAGTTCCATCGAACAAATCGAATATTCCACCAATAAATGTACAATAAAATGAATAGATTTGATCCATCAATCTAATTTAGTACTTCTATTTCTCAATAAAGTTGGAACATACTTTGCCATGTATCGATTAGAATTTAATAGGCATTTCGCGAGCTGACCCAATGATTACTCCTTAAGCTTACGACATCGTAGAATTGTGCATTACTCTCATGGATAGTATGCACCAGGAAGGAGATCACATCCTCGATTGGATTTACGGGGCTACTCGCTGGCCCATGGCACGCATTCGCGTTGTGATCATTTCCTGAAAAATACGACCCCCCCTAATTCCATCTTCAAGTACGACCCCCTCCCCATGTTACCTCTTCCCTAGATTTTTCCAACCTCCTACCACTTATTTTTTCCTTAAAAATTTCTGGTTTTTTTTACAAAATGTTGCTGTCGAGCGGGGCGGGGGGGGGGGGAGGTCGCAGTACCTACGTACGTCCCAAGCACGTCCAGCACTCTGGCGCTGGTGTAGCATACTGACAATACGTACGAGGAAGGGGCGATGATAGGAGCTACGATCACCGCCCACAAGGCACCACGAATTTATAAACAATGGAAAGGACTTACGACTGACGATGAATAAACAGACGAAAGTACATTCCCGGACTTTTCTGATTGCAGGAGCACATTTGCTTGCAATTGGGAAGCCCTATCTAGAAGTTACACCTTCCAAACACCTGCGTGAAAGCCCCATGCATGGCGCATTGCAGAGGTGATGCCAATTATCCCAATGGCCTATTTCCTGATACCCTTTGCGAAAACATGTGTTTTAGAAGCATACCAAAGTCTTCAAGCCAACTGGAGGTTTCATGGCCTCGGAGGGGCTGATTTTTCGTGTCGTGGGGGTGTTCACGAAATGATCACAACGGGGAATTTTTTCGAATAGCAGGTCTAGGAAGAAAATTCAAAGCCTTGTTAATTATTTTCACCTGGAAAGTAAGAATCTTCTGCTTCCAGGCAGACCATTCTTTTTTTTACGAAAGCGGGTATGAAGCTTGCCATTGATACGATCCAACAGCGTAGCGACTCGCGCAGTTCGGCAAAACAATGTCGCAGTGACGGATCACACACGATGATCACAACGGGGAAAATCTCTGCAATCGGAACGTTTTTGAAGTCGCTCAATTCAGTTGACAAAAGCCAATTTGGCTCTACTCATTCCCACTTACCCTCCCGATACCTCACATTTTCACCGAAGTTATGTGCTGTTCAACATGAGGGCACTTTTCACGTGTTTGCCTTAAAATTGGCTCCACGCCGTAAAATAGCGCGCACCAATGAGCTTGTACGAGCGCGCTGACCGCGAACAGCCAAAATTCAAAGTAATCCATAGTTCCGGTTCCCAGCTGGCCTGGTGAGTTTTTTTTCTTATCCATTTGATTGTGAATTATTTTGATTGTTTGTTTTGTTGAGCTTGATTTTGTTGTGAGGAAATTGCTCAGGATTCAATTTCTACGGTTTCATAGGTAGCTTTTGCAATGGATTCTTTCTAGATTTTGCGGGATTAGTGGATTGGGATTTATCTGGACCAGACATTGAGGAGGTTGAGTGGGGCGAAGTGTCTTTAAAGCTTTTGGCGCAAGGAGGAAGAAAAGTATTCAGCATATATTTTTTTAGTTCTTGGCCTAGGAACAGTTCGATAGTGCCTAGTTCTATTTATTGTCATCTACATCGTCCCTTTTGAGCTTCTTTTCACTTGTACCGTGTATCACCGCTCTCTCCACTTCAACATGGGCCATGCGTTTACGACCTCCCTCCATCGCGGGCAAATACGACCCCCGTTGTGACTAGATCACAAGATGGCGCTGCCCTGACAGTGCCAGCAGCAAAAGAGCGGTTTGGTGGCAACTGAATCACGTTTGAGTGCTTCGACTGTCATGAACTGATGATTATCCTGCATTAAAACGGGACTTTTTTGCCGATTTCTACGCCAGAAAGCAAGGAGACAGGTCGCGTGATTTTAGATGACGGAAGAAATCATTTCTTTTTTCATACGGAGCGCAGTTTCAGACGTCCTGGCAGCCCAGATCATGAGACCACATTCACTGAAGTTCCGCCCAGAAAAATGAAACTTCTTCCCTCAGGTCGTGCCAGCGGAATCGGTTTTCGTCGGAGCCGTCGCAGTTGAATTTTTTCTCATCAGAAAACACGACCGCGAGAAAAAAAACTGAAAAAACACAGACAAGCAGTAGGGCACCGCAGCCAAAAGCCAACCTCACTCCATTGGGTTCGGCAACATCTTCGAGCAAAGCCAATTAGGTTTTCGCGATGGTTTTTCGTTAGAAACAGTACGTAACTCATATTCCCCTATGGGTGAACTCGGGAGTTTTCCAAGACACGCCTAACAGTATCCTCCGAGACATTAACCTGCGAAGATGACTTAATTTCCCGACACGACACTGCAGAGTTGGATGCTTTCCCAAGGATACGGCGGTTATTCCGATCGGGCAGCAAAGGAGGATGTCCAGAGCTCTTCTCAGCTCAATATCCTGTAACTCCTTTGGAAAAATTGTTGATAGCATGATGAGTGCGGCCCGACCCGAGCGATCAACGCCTCACCAGATTCTAGTCTTTTTTGCGATAATCTGTCCTTTTTCGAGGTCCATTAATGAAGTTCCACTTGCCATAGCCTAGAAGAGGCGAGAAGTCATAATGATGAGAAGTTTCACCGAACAAAAATGAGATGCAGCCGGAAAATGCGGTGGAACTATACTTTTGCTGCGTTGTCAGAACGACCATTTTTGAAAAAATTGACGAAAAAAATTGTTTTTTCAAGCTAGAGTTTGGTGTTGGCATGCGAATTGGTATTGGTAATTACCACATTTTCTGTATGGGGGCATTTTTGAAAACGTCGTGTAAGACGGGATTTTGTGAGATTCATGGGTGGAACTATGATTATGCTTCGCAGTGTAAGAGCTAAGAACGGAAGAGAACTCGCTGCTAGAGGGAGCACTGTCTGCGTTGCGCCGATACAAAGAGAGGGCCAACCAGCTCTATCGCATGCACGGTACAGCATCGTGATGTGCGTAGGCGGTGCTGTCAGTACTACTCCACCCTCGAGGGAGGTTCTCGGGATGACTCTCTCTCCCACCCTTTCCGCACCTACCACGCACCAACCCTACCACTTTCCTATACGTTCCCACCAGCCTCCCACCAGGTTTCACCCCAAGGATTTTCCGTAGAGAGGGTGGGAGGAGGAGGATGGTATATGGTACACATGAAAGAGGAAAAATCATGAGAAGTCACCAATCTGGACAAATTTTTCCCCAACGCGGCAAATTCCTCTTAGAGCAATCAAAAACGAGCAAATACGACTCCACCCTCCCCAGCGGAGAAGTGCGACCCCCCTGTGTTTCAAACGATGGTGTACCCTGATTGCATGAGCTTTGGCTCGACTTCTTTTGGAGAGGATGGGCATGCTGAGAGCCACTAGGAGGACAAATTTTATCCTCTGATCGACGATCCGTTGCAGATCTCGTAGCTGCTTTGTGTAGAGATTAACCGTGGGAGCAGCTTCTTCATCCAGCACTTTCACGACCCGCAGCTCCCTCAAGCTGAGTTCACATGTACACCCAAACCTCACTTCGTCATCAAAACTGTGCGCTCCCGCTTTGAAGCGTATTGGAAGGTTTTCCTAGAATTGAGGGGAAGAGCATCGTATTTATGCAGATCCGTTATTTTGGCATCTTTCATGCTGGCGTCAGGGTGGCGGAAGAAAGAGTTTGAGGAAGTGCTTGGAGGTTGGTGCCGGTGGCATTGGATACTACCCTTGTCCGTATTGCAAAAGAAAAAAAAGCAGGAGTCGTGCGAGTGGTTCAAATGGAAATGCTACTCCTTAATGTATAGCTGCTCGTTACCGGTCACCCCTCTTCAGGTAATGGGCAAGTAATGAGTTCGTAAAAGTACCACAGAACTTGAACATAAACCCAGCATAGTAGAATCCATGCTTGAACCGTGGCTTGAAAGGAAGTGCATGGTCGGATGAATTTCCACTCGTTGGTTTCAGCTCTTGCTTCTCATCACCTCACACCCACCATTCAAAGTGGAGAGAGTTAATGATGGAATAAGCGCCATTGGGGTGCAATTAAAAATGATATTTGGGGGCCCTGCGGCAAGTGGCCGGGCCGTGGTCCCGTCGCTACCAAGTCCAGAGAAGGTGTTTGCGGTTCGTATGGAAGCGGTTCATGCCTTAATCTAATTTGTCTTCAGTTCTTCGGGGATAAGAGGCGAAAGCGGCCTGCTGTCGTTTTGGAGTGTTTTCTTCTTCCAATATTCTATTTTTTCTTTATTTCTCACTGGAAGCCGTGAGCGCGAGTACAATAGGCCTTTCTCCACCACTTGTTTTCGCTTACCAGCCCCAACAACTGAGGGAACGTGTTGGCGGTGCGTCAAACTCCTCTTAACGGACACACCCACTCTTCCGCAGCAAACAGGACTGCAGTCGCTGATTATGCCTCCAATATACCTCAGTAGAAATCAAAGGTGGCTTGCTTACCGTAGATGAAATCGTTTTCTTCTTTGCTGTGGATGGACGCCACATGTCCTCCGAGTGAAACGCATAAATCTTCGGCTTCAGCAAAAGTTGCTTATCTCATACGAAATAACTTGGAAATACGCGAGGCGTTATAGTGTTTTATTTCAACATCTATTCCTACATGTTTGAAGGAACTCAGTCCAATTCTCCTGAGAAGAAATGCAACAGAAAAGTGTGTTTCTCAGACAGCTATACCGTGTAGCATGAGCGGAACTCGTGGTAGCCGCTATTTTCTTTGCCGCAGTTCGTTATCACAGGAATGCTGAGCTATGGGCGCAAGAACAGACGCCGTGCTCTACTTTGCACCTCGCGCTCACGGCTTCCAGCGAGAAATAAAGAAAAAATAGAATGTTGGAAGAAGAAAA